GGGGTACACAGAGAACATTCACGGCGTACGAGGGATGTTTCTCAGGAGCATGAAGGAACTGGAAGGCGCGTGTCTGGTCTCTCTTGTCGTTTTCAAGCGTTCCGGAGGGGGTCCTCGGGTTGTAGTCTAGAGTTTTGCTGAGAGTGAGCAGCCCAACGGATCCGTTCTTTCATATGCGCGGACGCCGGACACCTCCTCATCCGTGATTGTTTTAATAATTTTTCATTCTCCCGCGGACTCGGCAAACAAGCAAGGCCTTTCGCTCTAATTTTTTAACTCACCCCAATCATGTCCCCGAGTGCCTGCGTGTGCCGGCGCGCTCGCCCGGTTTCGTTTGGCATCGGCGCTCAAGGCTGCTGGCTGCCTTATTTTCGCTTGGTGACGCAAAGTTGATCAGCCTTCGTGCTCACCCCATTTGGAGCTGCTGTACTGCTGTTGCAACCACGAGCGGTGGTGTCTTTCCGGGCATCATGTTCAGCACGGATCGTTTCTGTTTGCTTGACGCTGTTTCGGCCGACCTTGGGTTTGGCTCCGTTTTGTTTGTGATGGTTTTCTTTTCGTTTTTTCGTGCTGAATTTTTTCCCGCAGGATGCCAAGTGCTCCCTGTGCGTGGGTCTCATCTCCTTGGCGGTTGTGGCAGCGCTTGTGCTGGAACGACTTGTGAGTGGGCGTAACGCCGCAGGATCCGTGCCGTGCAGTATCAGTCTGTGCCAAAGGACGCTGTGCTGTTGAAGGTTTCAGGTTAGAGTTTTTGCAAGAATCGAACACAAAAAATCGAAAAGAAATGTGTCGGAATCGAAGAGCCAAAATTTCTTTTCAAGAAAGGATCGAAAACCTGTGCTTCGGAGAATATTATGCTGTCGGTAAAAAATCGAAGGCCGTCCGTGGAGGAGTTGTTTTTTCGCAGGTGTCCGCCGGTGTTCCTGGCTGCTTGTCGCATCATTTGTTGCGGGCGGTCGTGGGAATGTGTTGAGGCGTCACCCCCGATACCTAAGCACTGCCGTGTCTTCGACGTGCCCACCCCCCGACTTGTCCTTCAAGAACCCAAAAAACAGCTCGAAACTAGCTACAGTAAATTTCGCAAGAAAAGTGATTTCACTTGTGTAGGTAGAGTTACAACTTTCGGAATACTTGGATTGCTTCCGGTTATTTCTTGTTGCAGGCAGAGATTTTGCGGGGGATCGTCCTCAGCGTGTTGGTTACACGATGCACCCCCCACACAACCCACGCGCACGCACGCATGCGTACATTCCTACAGGTTTCGTGGGCAGATAGCGCCACCGGCATCTGCCTGTCGCTGTACATCGTGTATGAAGGGTTGATGAGCGTGTGGGAGGCGAGACAGCAGTTCGTGGCTCATTTGGAGGGAGACGAGGGCTTACGATTGGTGAGCCATTCTCTTTCCGAAACGGCCGCTGCCGTTCTTGCTTCCTTTTTTTTTTTTTGTCGACAACATAGAGTACATGCCAGAGCCGTTCAAGATGTAACCGCAGTCGAAGGGGATGTATTGAGGTATTTTTGTTGACGAGTGCGCGTGTTCGTGTTTTGACGACCCTGGTGCCCAAACCGCCGCTGCCATTGCTGTAGTGTGCGCAGAATCAAAGAGAGACTAATCGTTCGTGATACAATCACAGTCGAAGCGGGTGTGTTCAAGTCTTCTCATGAATGGGGGGGGGGACTGCTGGATACTGCTCTTTTGTTTTATATAATACGATGCAATTAAACAAAACTAACCGTTCGAGATATGGCCCCCGCGGGTGGGTGGAAGTCTCGTTCTTGACCAGTGCGCGTTTACGTGTTTGACGACGCTGGCCTGCTGGTTTGAGTCAGCAGTCTTGCATGATTTGTGCGAAGTCTTTCTGCCGTTTGTCTTGTCGTTTTTCTTTACATACGTGCGCATGAAGTACGAGTGTTGGTGGGCGTCGCCGGGCCACGATAGAGAACGGCCTCGTGTTTTTGTGCTGTTTTTCTTTGGTTCTTCTGATGTGGTGTTTTACTCGGACCCTCGGACCACTGGCATGCAAGCTTGCGTGGGACAATAAATCGCAGTCTTCTGGCCATAAATCCTCCTGCTGAATAGTGTTCTGAATTTACAATGCCCACCCACCCACGTAAAGCACCTGCCTGATCGGTGGAAACCCGACAGAACTGGTTCTCCGGGCCTCCACACATCGAGTAGGTTTTCGACGAGACGTTGGCTGGACATGAGTATGATTGCTGCCATCATGGCAAACAAATGCTGCGCACACCGGACCGTTTGCGTTGCCTTTCCTCTGTGTCAAGAGGCGACCGGAGAAGTCGAGGCAGAAGAAGGCCCGTGTTATGCGTCTTGATATGGTTGATGTTCAGCTGTGCATGCGCATGTTTTTGATGATTGGGTCGCGTCGCGTAGCTCCTGCCTCGTGCTGCCCCCCCCCCCCCCCTCCCCGCCCCGCCAAAACAAAAGCATTTCCTAAGAAAGCCTGGGTCATACGTCTTGATATGGTTGATGCTCAGCTGTGCATGCATGTTTTTGATGATTTCGCCGTCGCATAGCTCCTGCTTCATGCTCTACTTATCCCCTCTGCCCCAAACAAAAGCAGGTCCCTCTGATGCATGAGAGGCTGCTTTTAGACAAGGAAGAGGGCACGGCTTTGCTCGAGGAGACAATGTAATAGCTCCGGCGTAGTCATCAAGAGGGGAAGGTGGAACCGAACGTGGTTCATTCGCGGAGACATGGATTCGCCGGACGGAAAAAAATGGACTTATGGGCATGGGGATGAAAAACAACGCGGAGCGATGCCGTGGAAACTTGGAACGGAAGATGGGAGTGGCACGAGGAGAAAAGGGATGGGTTTGGGCTTGCATACGGGGTTGCGGATGGGCACGGCACACCCAACGCGCATCAAAGCAGAACCTACACGGGGGCAGCGCTAGGAGAAGGGGTCCTGGAGCGGGGTAACCGCAGAGGAAGGGTTCGAACCCCTCATTAAGGAAGGAACGAAGGGTAGGTAGGTCGTGATGCAACAAGAGGGGAGTTTCGGTCCATCTTTTATCGTGTTTGGTTCTCTCACCACCCCTATGTGGTTCTGTTATGGCATGCTCGTCCTGCCCTGGGTGAACCCTGCTGCCGCTCGGGGGCCCACCTCGTAGCTAGCGCGGGCATGGGGTAGGTGACGCAACATACCGCACCCCCCGGGCTGATTTTCAACGCTCGGTTTCTCCGCAGCAGAACGAGTGTAGCGGTGCCGAACTTTAGCGGCACCGGGACAGTCTCGTCGAGAGCTTTCCGAGAGCGCACCATCGTTTGAGCATTGTACTGGAGATATAAAAAATCGATCCAGGGGTGTGTGGTATCTTGCGTTCACGTACGTACGGTACGTACATACCCCATGGGCGGAGAGGGGCTCAAGGTCAAGAGCCAAAACACGGACGGTATCTGCTCCGGCCAGAATTGCGTGAGACTTGGTCTCGCGGGGGTCTGCGGATGGGAATGGGAGAGAGGGAAGAATCAGTCTGATGCGCCGGTCCTCCACCCTCAAGTGTTTTGGTTTTGGTCGCTTACGCCACTCGCCTTGGCGTGCTCTACAGTACTACCGGGTGAATTTTTGTTGCAACAGGAAAGCATCCAGTTTTTGATTGCGTCCCGGGAAATAACCCTCCTCCCTGTGTCTCAGTTTTGCAGCGCATAACCCCCCCCCCCCCCCCCCGCACCTTCCAGACGGACGCAGGAAATTCCACAGAGAGAGAGGGGCATTTGTGTCCACTTATTTTTTCTGATGCGTTGTACAAAATCCTTTGGCGTGCGTGGAACGAATGCAGAATGGTCGCTCCCGTTTCGCGTGAAGCCGATGTGGAAAAAATCGTCAAGTTCAGCGATGGTAGCTGTGTGCGCTTGGTGCAGTTCTTCCTCTCACACACCAATAATGCGGTTTTTATTGTTTGGTGTCCCCCATGAGGGCTGTATTGAAAGTTAAACCTATTTTTTGTCGTGGCGTCGTAGTTGTCAGCCCCAGCGTGGATGGTGGCGTTTGGTGTGGTGCGTTGGATGCCTGCGGTTGGAACATGACCGATTTATTTTCATATTTTCGTCGCCCTCATTCCTCTCGTTGCTATTTTTTTTCTCTCCCCCCTTTTTCGCGCGAGCGGGAGCTTTTGGTCCCCCGAGACTTGGGGGGCGATAAATCGGTGCATTGCGGTTTTCAGGTGGTGAATGTGTTCGTAGCTCCTTCGTCTGTCGCGTCGACTGCAGAACATATTCGACCGACACTCGGAGGCAAAAATGGTGGTCTGGTGTGGTTCAATGGTGCGTGTTTTACAGTACAGGTTCGTTCGTCGGGACAGCAGCAGTAGTATACTGGCGCACTGCGGAGAAAAAAAAGCAAAAAAAAAATGGCCGAGGCAACTCACACTTTTTGACACAACCGCTGAGACACCTACGCTCTGTCGAGACAACTTACACGTCCACAAAGAAAGTTGCGCCGAGTTTTTGTTCACAAAACCGCGGGGTTGGTTCTGTCACAGAACTCTGGACACGACGCGTTAAATGGAATGCGGAGCATGACAGCTTTTTCACACCACGTGGTTGTACATTTCCTCATCACGCGTGGCCCCGACGGCTGGTGCGTTCAAACTTCAAACGTAAACTGTAGACCGGCGCCAGACACAGTGGATGGGACGGAAAACCGCATGAAAGAACTTGGCCTGTTTTTTCGCGCAATAAAAAAGTGATGTTCTCGCTGTGTTTTCCGAAGACGACGGCAATTTATCTTCTCTGTTTTGTTGTCGCTGGGTCTTCAAGAGAGTTTCATGTTGTAGCTTGTCCTGTTGGTTGTCGCTGCGTTTTCCAAAAGAGTACGATATTGTAGCGTCTCCTGTGGTTGGGCTGAACGTGGGAGCGTCTCCTCCTGGTTCATTCACTACATTTTGCCGCGTTTTTTTTCTGCCTTAGTCTGCCCTGGTCTGGATTGTGTAGACCAGAGCCGAAAGGGCAAAACGTTGTCGCACGTGCCATGGGAACCGTCATGTCGCGAGGAGAGCACCACCGGCTGTGGCAGCGCGTTGGTGCTTGCAAAACCACCAGCGGACGGGGAGGCGACTTCGTGGGACGTATATTCCCGTCTTGCAGCGGTAACAAAACAATGTAACAGCAGTAGATACGTTCATGCCACAGGGCACATCGTACACCCCCTCCCATTAACTCTCTCTTCCTTCTACAGTAGGCCTGTCCCTGTACACCTTCACGGGCAAAAAACACACACACACGTGTTCTACGAAACTATTAATAGGATGGCACCATCAACACCGCCACCTAGTCAGTAGTTCACACCACCATCTACGTCGAATCCAAGACAAAAAATAAAACGTCGTCTGAACAAAATCCATGGCCAGGAGCGCCCACAGCCGTACACACCACAAGAAAGCCCGACCTTGCGAAACCCTCGCTCCACATATTGCCTAGCAGTACCGCAGTAATGTGGCGGCACAATTTTATACTGCTACGCTATTATAGTGGTTCCACCATCGCCGCCACCGTAGCAACCGCGGTACGGCGGCCCACCACCTGCCATCACTGGCGCATCTGCGGGTCCCCTACCCAGAGCTCTGCAACCGCAGCCTTTGTCGCCTATACCTTCCACCACATACCGCAGAAAGTCAGCCACTAAAACCCGTGCGGGGACGCAACAAGTTGTAGTGGGGCCAGGGTTCAAGTTTACATGCTCGTGTGATAATCGGAACAATTTTTCATTGGAGAAGGGGGTGGCGCGTTCTGTACAGCGTTACCTACCGCCTCTCCGCGCCAGCTTTGCCAGCCCTCTGCCCCTCATCTTCGACCTGTTTTCTCGCGTCAAATCCAATACAAAAAGCGCCCGCAATTTAAGAACCTCTAGATACTCTTGGCCGGGGTTGAGGTTCTTACTGTATTCCTAGGGTCATGCTACGAATGGCCGCGATATAGCTCTTTAGTGTAGGGGGTCATAACCCAGCTCACACACGGTGCTCAAGTTCTTAGATCTTGAGTTTCTTGAGGCTCAATTTCTCATCATGTCTGGCAAACTCCCAACTTCCAAGTGCGGACGCCCGGCCGCGCAATGCCTTCCGACGAAGTGCATGCAGCAGCCGGCGAACCCAAACCTTTACCTCCCCCCACCCCGTGCCGTCTTCGACTCTCTCTACCCGTAAAAAATGGTTTAAGACAATTTCACCATCCCTTCCCCCGTTCTATCAGCAAGTTTGCCAACCTCACCGTGCTCCCTCCATAGGATAGGGAAAACGTTTGTGAGGCACGTTTGGCAAAGTAGGAAAGAGCGATTGGCCATCGGTGATCGGTTTTGTGGGAACAACCCTCCGACGCGTGGTCAATGAAACAACGGCTGAGGCATGCACAAAATGAGTACGCCCCTGCTCCCTCTTGCCGAAACACCAAACCCCACCTCTTGTCGCGGACCCTCTCCGTCCCGACAACAAAAACCCGCGGAAAGAAACCCGTACCGTGTGGGCTTCCATTCGGCTTACTGGCTGGATGAACCGCTTCTACAGCGGCAACCCGCGCCTGACAAGCCCCAGGTACTGCGGGCTCTCCGAAAACTTAACCAACTCACGGGCCCGCACCACCGGCAAGGGGTGCGTCAATTCCTGCAATTCGGGGGGAGGGGGGGGGTACAACAGGGGGGGCCGTGGAGTCGGGCGGTGCGGGAAAAACGCGAAACGACAAGGGTAAAGGACTACTGTATCCAAAATTGGAGAGGATTGATTCGTGCGCGAGGTAAACGCCGATCACAAACTGTCTGGGGTTTCCACATCATGTTGCGGGAAAGTGGGAGGGAGGGGTGAGAGCGGGATGGTGAACAACAAACGCTCGGGGCGTGGTTTGTTTGCGTAGCTGCTGGACCATTGGCCACGCATTGAGAGAGGCTCCTTCCTACATTGCCAAAGGTGGCTCAAAAATGTTCTACCCTTTCCCGTCTGTGTCACCTCTCGCCCGGGAGGGGGAAGGATAGTTGGGATAACAACAGCCACGGAACCGACCAACGTCTTCTCTCACCAGAGACTGCTCTCTCTTGAGAAGCTTCCCTATACGCGTCTGGCTGGCGAGATCGTACGCCGACGCCTGTTTCAAAAACTCCGGGACGCTCAACTCGGATGCCTGGCGAGGGATACGACGACCAAAAAAAAAAAACAAAACCGCGGCGTGAAAACATAAACAGTAGGATTGGGATGGGTGGGTCGTACATGGTTTCTTCTTCGACACTTGCTATTATACAATACAAACGAGAAGTGTGATTGCGCGCCACGTAGGGCGCGGTGCAGGTAAAAAAGTAGCGTAGCCGCTGCGGGAGCAACGACGGTGAATGTGTGCACGGGTTTCGGTGTCTGTGGAGGGGATCGATCGCGAGGTCTGGAGCGAGCATGGGTGAGTCGTCAATGTGTCAGAATCACCCCAAGGCAACAGCCAAAGTTACGGCAACAGCAGTAACAACAACGCAAATCAATCAACACTTAACACCACAGCAACCAGCAACAATAGCAAGCAGCAGCAGCAACAGCAGAAGCACCAGCAGCAGCAACAACAACAACAACAACAACAGCAGCAATAGTAACAGCAGCAATGCCAGCAACAATGCCAGCAACAGCAGCAGCAGCAACAATAACAACAACAACAACAACCACCACCACGAACACCACAACGACAACAGCGAGCACACAAACCTGGCTAACGCTGCCCCCCGCCAACTTGAGCAGCGTCGACACGACCACGTTCACGTCCTGGGCGACAAGCATCGCCGCGCGGTCGCACGTGAACTCCGCCGCCCTGGACCACCGCATGAGCCTCCTCCGCAGCCCCAGTCGGTCCGCCACGAAGGCCCCCAGGAAACCCCTCCCGTAAAGGCCGTTCGCGACCACCGTGGCGAGGGTGACCCAGATGCCATGTTCGCACTTAAGGTGGCCTAGCTCGTGCGCGATCACCGCTTGCACTTCCTGCGTAGGGGGGGGGACGAAATACGTCGACGGGAAAACCAACATTTAGGAGAGATGGTCGAGGTTGTGTCTTGGACTTCCTTCGGGGGGGGAGGGTTCGAAATACGACGGAGGGCAAGATAATTGTCAAAAAGAGAGCAGGGTTCCGCTTTCTCAATATGCATTCTGCTTTGTTTTCCATGCCGCATGTGGAACAAATAAAGTGGAACGTTACAGAAGGTGGACTAGTACACGCACGTGGTTCTGGCTTTGATCACACAACGGTTTGTTGCCTTTCACAAGCTTTCAATGACGTACACATCACTGCAACGTTCGACAGCAGTCGACGCTCTCTCTTTCTCTCTCTCATTCTCTCTTCCCCTTCCCCTTTCTCTTTCTTTGTCTTTTGTTCCTCTATTCCCCCCTCTCTCTCTCCCTCTCTCTCTCTCTCTCTCCCTCTATCCATCTATCCATCTATCTCTGTGTGCACATGAACCGCTTTTCTCTCCCTTCTCGACGGCATCCGACCAACCTTGCTTTCTAGACAGCACAAACAAACGTCACACGATACGAAACACGCACTTCCCAAAACTCACTTCGAGCGTTATGGGCCACAGACTCGACGTAGACGTCTAAAGAAGTTTTGGGTTATTCCTTCCTCAGAGACTGGCGTAAGAGGTATGTTCAACGTTCACCAGCTGGGTGGCGTACTCCGCGCTAAATAGAAAATAGCAAAAAACAATCAAGCCACGCACACGTGCACACACACGACTAATGTATTATCACTGCCCTGCCGGTATTGCAGCGCGGTCAGTGCTAACTCAAAAAAAGACACACACACACATGCACACAAGGGCACAGACGGGTCTCTCGACAAAAGAGCAGAGAGGCTTTTCCGCAGCTGCAGCTGCTGCTGCTGCTGTCTCTACCAACCTCGGGCTCCATGAGGTCCAGCAAGGAGGTATGCAGCACGATGAACGGCTTCTTCCCTCGGATGGCAAGGGTGTACGCGTTCGGGGTGGGGTTCTGCTTAAACAGGAAGAAGGAGGGAAAAATCCAAAACGGGGAGGGGGGTTCGCGAATGAACAAAGGTCCACCGGGGGGGGGGGGGGGGGCGTTCC